AGTGGGCATCCATGTGGTGGGCACCTACTCCAAACGGGCCCCCACTAACCCCTTATAACTTTAAAATAAATAAAATAATTTTTAAAACTGTAAGTATTTTTAAAATAGCTTTGTATTTGCAGAAGCTTGAAAAAACAACTTTTAGCTCTCTAAAAATTATTTTTCATAAAATAAAATATGTAAAGCATTTTAAAAATTCATTTTAATGTTCCATAAATCAAATAAAACATATATAAATATTAGTCAATGGGAATTGGATCCAGCAGGTACAGTCAAGGATCATGCGAATTTACTGAGGCAATCCATCTATTCTAGTAACCCCAAACTTCAGTCACCTTCTCAAACTAACCCAATGAAACCCATGACCCACAGCTCATCACAAGGGCATGATTGGTCTATCAAAATCAGCCAATAAATGAAGAGAACATGGTTTTAGTCTATGGATTATAGGTCCCCGCCAACGACAAGTCCACGTCACAAAGACTTTCGCACACTATCACAATGGTGCATAGGGATTATCTCTTTCACACGTCTACACGATAAACCCCAATGGGTAGATTCCGGAATGGCTATCTAGTATATATGTCATGCGATGGAAATGATGAGGATTTTTTGCCTTGTCCCCTCAAGTTAGCCAATCACACAGTCCCTTGGCCAATCACCCTGAGCAACTCTTTGACCTCATCAAAAGATGACCTTATGTGCCACATGCCAAGGGCTACATGGTTTTAGACACCAACCCAGCACGGCATCAACATGTCTCCCTTGGTCCCTCACTAGAGTTATCACATTAGTATAGTTATACTTTTACATGCACCCATAAGGCCTTTAAATGGCCACATAACCCCAACAGGTCATACCAGCTCCAAGGCCCTATCAAACTCATGAATTCTTCATCCGCCCTTTCTTTCTCTCCTAATCTCTTTTCTCTTACTCTTCTTCTCTCTCCCCTTTCTCTATATATTTTGCAGGAGCTAGCCTTTGGGCCTCGCTATTGGGAACAAACTGTAGGCAAACTAGGAAACAGCTGTTTTATGGGCTGCACCCCCCTCTTCTTTGCAGTAAACTTTCTGAAACCTACCCCTCCCTTCCCCCAAGAAAGACAAAAAAAAAAAGAAACTCTCTTTCTCTGTCTCTCTCTCTCTTCTCTTACACTTCAGTGTTTGAGGAGATTTCCCCTCCCTTTCTTTTCTATCTTTTTTTTTATAGAATATTTAACTGTATTACTTAAAGTACAACAATTAAACGACAATAATGGCTTCCCACAGACCAGGAGCTCTATACAAAGTATGCCCAACTTATAAAGAAACTTGTTTGGGGAAAAAAAGGAAATTGGCCTAAAACCACCAACCGAAAACAGGGGCCTACATACAGGAAATACCCATAGGGTCTATAGATATGAAATGAAACCAAAAATAAACAAACAAAACCACCGAAAAGAGACAGATTGAGTCCAAAATTGCTCCAGCAGGCAGTTCATAGGGAAAAGGCGAAGAAGGTATAGAAGAGGGGTTGGAAAGGGAGAGTGAGGACGGGAGAGGGAGAGGGAGAGGGAGAGGGAGAGATTGGGGAGGCAAGGTAATATACTACAGAGTTCTAGGGCCGTCCACACCACCAGGCCACCACTTTGAGTCCATCTACGAGCAGTCCACCCTGGCAGTCAGCCTCAGAGTATAACCACACTCCCGAACTCCTCATTCTACATATAAAAGTGAGCACACACTACATGCACAGGTTGTGGCTACATGGAAAGTGGTTAAAAGGGTAGTGAAGAGTTGGTAAGATAGCGAGGAGGTACAGTGAGAGGGAACCGAGTTGAGGACGTAGAAAGAGAGTTATGTTAATAGAAGCCTCAGAAGAAGAATAGGAGATGGGAAGGGTGGAAGAAAAGAAAGAGAGTAGGTGAAAGGAGAAAAAGTATAGACACAGAGAGAAGGGAGAGTGCATATATACGGAGCTACATAAAGCAGGGAAGCAAGAGAAATGCAAGGGATTAAGAAGGTCAGAAATGCAAGGGATTAAGAGGTGACCTTCTTACCTTATCTTATTTCTCTTCTCTTATCCCACTCTTCCACTTTCCCCCCTTTGTTTATATATTTTGCAAGGAGCAGAATTTTGGGCCTCTAGATTGGGGACAATACTGCGGGTAATCTGAGCACCTGGCATTTGGTGGCTACCTTCTCTCTCCCCCTCATTTCAGAAATCATTCCGATATACCCCCCTTGTCGCAGTCTTTTCTCTCCCCCGTCCCCAATCTTTAAGTCTCTCTGGCAGGCCAGTGTGTGGATCGCCTTTGCCCTTCTTTCTTAATACCTTGCACTCTATCTCACTCTCAAATTTTTTATTGAGAAGTATATCCAAAAAAAAAAAAAAAATTGAGAGTAACTTGACTATAATTACTTGTTATAATGTTCTATAGGGAGACCATGACAAGTGGTTAGCAGCATCCCATAGGCTTGGTAATCATACTCTACATCCAAAAATGAAGTAAATTAAAGTCCAAGAAAACCGTTATACTAGGGGAAGAAAGAATACGCAAAAACAAATACAAGAGGGAAGATGACGAAGAGAGAGTGTGTGGTAGGAGAAGAGGAGTAAGAGAGCTGTAGTAAAACATGGAATAGAGAAAGAACCAATGAGGGGAGTGACCACCCAAATCCAAGAGGTTGAGACATCTGGGTGAGAACTTGACCTATGGGAGGCCCTCCATTTTTTATTAAGCAGCCAACCAGTATGGAGGCCTTCACTCCATTTGAAATAAATAAACAAAAATAAAAAAAAACTAAGTGTACTGAGCACCCAAGGACATGGGCTGCCTTCTGCTTACTCCTCGTGAGGACATCATTTCAATATTATTACTATAAATATCTTGTCAGCTTCTGGGGGGAAGTAACTGCGAAGGAATCATATTGTTCCAAGGGCATGAAAGACAAAAATAAATTCCCATTGGTTGCAAAGGATAGCTGGAATTTCAAAAAGAAAAAATGGTTAATTCAAGGATTCAAGGTGTTAATTCCCACAATCCCGATATATATGGATCTAAGTGGTGGGAAGGTTATAACTTATAAATCACCAAGAATCTTTACATTTCCCGCACTTATTGGGAGAAGAATTAGAGAAAAAACACCCTTACCTAAGTATGGATAATTTTTCTCCAGTGACCAGGTGGTGGCCTGGCATTTCCGCTGGAACTGGTGATTCACATGGCAAGGGATGGCCGTCAATCATTGAGGTGGCTCTTTTGAAAAATATTTTTTCTTATTTTTATATTATAAAACCTCCATCAGATCCCAAATCCTATTTCCAAGGAAATTTTCATTACCAAGCCTCTTTCGTGACATAGAGTTATTAATTTTAAACATTAGATGTTGGAAAGCCCTCGCAACGCCTATAGACGAAAATGAACAGTATTTTCACCTATAGGCTCGCCACCTGTTTTTCTTGGACAGTGGGGATTTGCACTGCCACGTATTGCAACAGACGTAATAAGTCCGTAGCAATCAAATTTCATGTTAAACCGCAACGGACATAATAGGTCGGTTGCAGGGTCGAAAACATGGTTCATTTTCTCCTATAGGCGTTAGAAAGTGTTTTCCTTAGATGTTATATTTGAACTCTCAAATGGTCAACCCATATCCACTATGACCGTAATGGACAGGTATTACTTGAAGACATTGGACTTTGGAGTAGGTTCCAATCCTTCCCCTTGCCCCAGCAAAATACAGGGACCTTCAAAATTTAATCGACTTGGCATAAAGCCATTGCACTATTTGTAATTAGGAAAAATGAATACTATTTAGTACCTTGCAATCCTCAATTTTGAGTGCATAAGGTTTGAACCATTGAAGATGAGAAATACAATATTGTTCTGCCTAAAAGGCGTGTTCTACTTTCATTTTACACCTGTCGAGGCCATTTTTTATTAGAAATGTTGGGCTCTGCACAGCCTATGTGGCCTCACTTTCCCATGTATGAGGAAAATATGATATTCATAGTCACACCCAATCATGGAGGCCTGAAGCTCTGATCGTCATCACCCAATGACCAATGAAATTTTGGTGCAAAATTAAGGGGCCATATGAGATAAATATGTATTTGATGCACATGCCTAAAACCTTGTTGGACACCTTTGTTTGGGTGATGTATCAAGAAGGTCGTCATTGAAGACTAGCAGTAACATACAGGGATTAACCTAGTTGAAGTACCACATGTGAACCTCAAGCATCATCGATCATGGGCACTAGGCCAATGAAGGACCAAGGCAAATAAACCATAAACTCTCAACCATGTCTACTAAAAGATACCATCAGACATGCTTAAGGAGAATTAATACCATGTGTGTGACAGGTGCGGAAACCATGCCTTTGCTAGTCCAAAATCATGAATCAAATCAACATCGTTGGTTCACTGAGTTTGACTTCATGAACTATGGATTATAGAGCATTCTCATACATTTTATAAGTAACAAAAAAGTACTAGTAAGAAGACATGAGTTCCAAGATAACCAGTCAAAAGAAATCATGACAAAGCAAAAACAAAAACAAAACATTATGTCACCACTACTGCGCCACTGTTTCATAGACTGAAACCTGAACATGTTTCATAGAATTAGCGCATTACTGTTTCATAGACTGAACCCTTGACATGTTTCATTGAAGGAGATGGCCAACAGTGTTGGGCTCGACTTGTAGAGTCTAATTTTGACTTGGCATACTTTATGCCAAGTCAATACTAGTCTCCATAAAAGATGATCAAAAATACCACTAGATTAAAGAAAGATTTTTCAAGCAAACTCAGGGAAAATGAAGAAGTGTGCCTGGTGGACCAGGTTCTACCACTCAAGGCCCAACCATACATAAAAAAAGTGTTTAATCCTGTCTCAGAACAAACATAAACCATATGGTTAACACATGCAACTCGAACATGTTTTTAAGGGACCTGGGAACAGGGAAACATAGCTAAATAAAGGTATATCGTCCATTATAACCATCTCAGCTTACCTTTGCAGCTGCATCTCGAATTCCATTTAGGACACGAGTTATTTCAGCTTCTAGTGTTTGAGCCGCGTTACAACCAGGCTTCAAAGAGAGCTTTCCCTTATCATACGCATCTATGAAGGCATCACAATTAGAATATCCTCCTTTTATTTGTTCTTCTTTCTGCTTTGTGAGATGAGATCCTGGTAGAACATCGTCTATTCCAATCGAGAACCCATGGTTTCCAATCCATCGAGCACTGTGGAACGGAAAAAAAATCAAAAAGGAGCAACAAAAGAATTGTTAATGAATTACAACCAAACACCCAAGACAGGATGCAACAAGGAACAAGGTGTGCTGTTGGCATATCTAAGCATGAACAAACACTACTTTAAAGTAACACAGCAATGCACCAAAAGTAATATGCCTGAGGAAACACAGAATTTTGAAGAGACAAAGAAATCTCAATTACAAAACAATGAAATAAGCATTCATGCCAACTTACATATATCTAAGCAGATAAAATGTAATCGAGAAGAAGTTCTCAATTTGCTTGAGTGAGTATATAGAATCAAAAGGTATCGACGCATCTATCTATAGAACTGAAGACGACACTTCCTTCTAGTCAAGTCAACACCAACCCAAACTTGAAGGATTGATGAAGGATGCATCACGACAATTGGATACCTGATATTATTAAAAGACAAACATCGGAATAAAAAACTGTAGGACAGCAGTCCAACAGAAACAACCAGTGTTTCAATACCTAGATTGGCGAGGTGGATCGTCCATCCACAAGTCGAAGTCAGATCACAAATCTGGAGTGATCCGAATCAGCAATCCAGTTAATTTCAAAGTTCAAAAAATAAAAACAAAATTAAAATATGGGTGTATGGGGGACCTAAGAAAGCATTAGATAAGCTTGAAAGAAAAAGAAAGAAAATATATGCCGAGTGGGGGGGGTTTGTTTTGAGAGGGACCAAACCAATACTAATACCTTTCCGAAAACTGGCACAGTCCCGGCCGATTCCCAATCTGGATCACCGGTTCTTGATCTGGATCAATGTGTATTGAACATTGTTTAAAAAATCGGCAGACTAAATTTTCCCAATTCTGACGGTCATGTATTCTAAAAACAAATTCAGTGCACTAATAGGCACAAATCGGCCGATAGTGCACTAATCGGCGATTTGTTGTAAAGATCGCCCAATTTGTGCACAGTTACAGTGCAGACTTTTGTCAAAATATATGTATCTTTACTCTCTCTTTCTCTCTCCCTCTCTCTCTCTATCTGTTGGTTGGGCAAGTCCTCGCCCAACTCTCTCACCTCTCTCTCTCTCAC